ACAATCAAACTGCGAACGTACGTTAATTTAGCTGCTCTTTCAATTTTTCTGGTAACTGAATGGAATTATGGCGAAGAAAACTAAACTATCTTGCTGCCTTATACTTCATGCGCAAAACGAATCCATTCCACCTTAAATCAGATGTTATAGAAATAACTTGATATTTATGTTCTTAAGCCTCACTTAAGGTCAATATATTCATTGTACATGGGCAAGAATGATATACGCCTTTCATTGAAAAGGTGACGTGAACACGTTTCTGAAGATTTAAGGACCTTTCCCATTTATCACACCATAATCCTACAATGTCTAAATCAGCCTGCAGTGAAGTAATGTCACTCTCTTTATGTATAACTCTATAATTTACAGTCATCCACAAACAGTCTAAGTGAAGATTTGACTTCATTTGTAATATCGTTAACAAAGAGCTAAAACAAAGGGAAACCCAGAAGTCATCCCAGCGGAACATCTGAAGTTATTGAAGCATATGCAGAAGAAAAACTACTTAGCCCTACAGACTGCCACCTTGCACGAAGATATTTGGCAAACCAGGCGACAACACAGTAATCCAACTTGTAAGACCGTAATGTTGAAATGATAAGATTGAGCGCTGCTATATCAAATGTTTTTTTTTAAATCGAGGAATATACAGTCATATTCGAGATCGTGGAAAAATTTAGCTAGTTTGGGCACAGCATGAAAAACCTTCATACGAATAAAATACACTCTTCAGCCTTTTTTAGTGCAATGTTTCTAATGTTAAATTTAAAAAAAAACTCACCCCCTTGCGACTTTTATTGGTGTTCCACTCTCCATCGTCATCCTTCCCGCCGTTCTTGCTGCTGCACTGTTTTGTCTACCGGTTCCACAGACACAGTTGAGCGGTGAATGCTTCCGGATGTTGTTTGGATAAGAACTGCCTTTTTGTGTGGCTGCCTTACATGTCGATGACGCGGGCGGCGTCATGTTGATGCGATGGTACATCTTTTTGCTGTGTTCTGCGAGAGCATTTCGACGTGCGAGTTCCGCTGTTGCAGTATTCTTTTCAGAATGGTTTTTGTGTCACCGATGTAAGTTGTGTCATAATTAGTGCATAGAACCTCGTAGACTAGCCCGAAAAATCTTGCTTTTCACAGCTGGTGTTCTGGTCGCGGCTTATGCGGATCTGTGCGCCACCTGTATACTCTCCTTCCACGACACCCTGACCAGTCGCTCGCAAGTCTCGGAAAGATGATGATGATGATCAAAACTTTATTACTCCCAAAAGAGAGGACCAGCCGAGTGGTCGGTTACGTGGCTTAGAGGAGGTCAGCCGAGATCCCTTGGGACTCCGCGGCCTCCAATGCGCGTGATAATACCCGGTGTTGCTGTGCCGAGTCAGTGATGTGCAGAAGGAACTCCCATGTATCTTCTGTGTGAGAAGCGTCAGTGTACTGTGGACACGTCCATGCCATGTGCACGAGCGTGGCCAATTGTGAGCAGTTTTTATAGCATGGTGTCTCGAGGTGTGGGTATACCTTGCTACAAAGCCAGGGGTTGGGAAATTACACCTGTCTGAAGCTTGGGCCACAGGACTGCATCACGTCGAGGGAGGTCTTAATGAGCTGGAGGATAGCGGAGACGGCCTAGTCTGTAGGGCTGTAGAATCTCTGTGGAAGTGACCAAAGGAGTTAGCTCTTCGCAGGTCTGGGAGGGCGAAGAATGAGAAGTGTAAGGCGTAAGGAATTCTGCCTGGCAGTTGAGATCTCGGGCGAGAGTGTATGACGACGCGTTTCCCCTAAAGAATTCATGAGCTGGGGCCCAGATAAGAAAACGAGGTGAGACAGGTGGGGTGTGATGCTTTATGATTGAGTATGCCTGTGTAGAGATACGGCCCGCGTCAAAATTTCGGATGGTGAATTTGGAATCACTTATGATCACCTTGGTTATTGGGTCGGTCATTGCCAAATCAACGGCAACCTCTTCGGCAACTGTCACATTGGTGGAGTGAATTACACTACACTCTAAGCCTAAAAAGACTAAAGTGGAGTATGCCATTGGTCCTTTAGGGAACTAAATGTGCTGCCACAAATTTTGAACCAATATTGGACTAACTGTGGGAGCAACTGCAAGGGTTCAACTGTTACACCTAGCACTTACTCCACTTGGTTTAAATGTTGGGCCCAGTAGAATGCTGCAGTGGGACTAACAGTTGAACCGTCTGGACGAATGAAAAAAATGGCGACATTGTACTAGTGGAGTATATTTTGTGTTTATTCCAATTTATTCCAATTTATTCAGCACTGAAGAACACAGTATATTAGTCATACAACACACACACACGCACGTACATATTTACGCACTATTATTTTAAAGTAAAACACCACAAACACTGACCGCCCGCGCTACACTACAGAGAACGAACTATCGGATATACATATAGCACACTATTTTGACCTCCCATGTAGTGCCAGCAGACGACTGTTACTCGGCTTAAAAAAACTATAAACATTGACACCGTAACGTGAAAATTTACATGGGCTAATTCGTAGCACCGAAGCGCAAGGATCTTTTAATATGGATCAATATAATCTTCAACATCCCTCCAGCCAGAGAGAGAGAGAGAAAGAGAGAGACTTTACAGAAAGGTAGAGAGGTTGGCCTGAGCTATAGTTTGCTCTGGCCTGCTAATACAAATTATGAGCTGGCAATCGATCATGTTGGCCGAACCAGCGTTGGCAGTGCTGGTGCACGAGTCCGCAAACACAAACATATAGCAGCGGCGCTTATGCGGGAAAACCGGCGAAGTAGCCAGGCGCCCCGCCGATGCCATACCGTGTCGGCTTGCCGACGACGTCACTAGGCTTACGACGAGTACGGCTACACGACCACCGGTGATCGCAACATGCCGCTCGCGTGCAATTTTCGCCGTCGTTGTTCATAGTCACAAATGAACAATAGGTAAGTGTCCCATGTCGCGGTGTCTTACGGAGTGATGTAGATATTTCTATACTTACAGCGACGAGACCATTCGCAGGCACGGTTCTTTCATCGTGCTGGTAAGTCGCTCGCTGTGTACCGCCGGCCGCACGATTAGTCGTATCCGTGATCGCCTTCACGCTGGATGGTTGATAACGATTGTCGCATGGAGAAAAAGACATGTTTGTCTGAGCTTTAATGCAAAAGACTATATTTTCTGTAAAAGAAATGGTTCACGACGTTTCCTTCGCGTGTACCGGCAATGCACTCACACCGGCAGCCAGCTTGATACCGTTGACGTACGAAGCCTACTTTTTCTATATATCGCTTTGAAGTTGTGGTCACTGTGTGGGTACACAACCGCTTGCGAACAGCTTACTTTTATTAGCGTTATAAGTGCAGATTGGTCGATTCGCTTTAGAGTGGTAGAGTTGCCACCATTGGCCTGTAGGTCCAATCTTAAGATGTGGATGTAATCCTTTTGGGAATTTGCACCCCTGCACTTGGAGATTGAAAGAGACCTGTTTGGGTTTGCATCCCTGTGATCTGATAACAATGTATTCGGATTTGGTCGCCCTGCAGGACAGGCCTACCATAGAGAGATAGCTGCCCACGTGGTCGATTGCTGTTTGTAGGGTTTCTTCGATTTAGCCATCACTACCTCTTGTAACCCACAGGGTGAGGTCATCTGTATAGAGTGTGTGATGCAGATTTGGGATGTCAGTTAGAAGTTTGGGAAGTCCTAACAGTGCAACATTGAAGAGGAGTGGGGATAGCACGGAGCCTTGTGGTGTTCAACGGCTGGAAGGCTCTCCTTCACCGATGTCAAGTTGCACTTGGCGATTGGTTAGGAAATCCTGCACGTATGCATAGGTCCTGTTCCCCACTCCCAAAGCTTGTAAATTCTGCAGGATGGCGGTGTGCTGTACATTATCAAAGGCTTTGGAAACATGAAGACCAACAATGACTTGGGTGTCTAGAGTGCGGTTGTAGAGCACCTGGTGTTTGAGAAGAAGCATGATATCCGGTGCCGCCAGGTGTGGGCAGAAGCCGAACATGGCGTCGTGAAGCAGATGATGATCCTCCAAGTAGTGGATAAGACGGGTCTGGACAACATGCTCCATCAATTTGCATACACAAAATGTGAGGGAGATAGGACGCAAGTTTGATAGCGTGGGGCATTTTTTATGTTTGGGAAGCAGGATGAAATTGGCAAGTTTCCAGCCATGGGGTACGGTGCTTTGCTCCCAACATTGCTGCATATAGCTCGTGAGGGCTTGGATAGAAGATTCGTCCAGGTTTCGGAGCATGCGATTGGTGACTCGATCTGGTCCAGCTCCACAATTTGTCTTGAGGTGCTTTAGTTCCGCCCGCACCTCTGCTATAGTTATGGGGGCATTAAGAAGCGGGTTATCATCCCCCTCATATGCAGGAAGACAAATGTCGAGTCCAGGACGGATATAGGTGTTAATGAGCTCTTGACGTAGGGAAGTGGATGAGCCGGAAAATTCACGAAATATACGTTCAAGTTGATATTTAGCTTGCTGTTTGCCACTATCAGGATCCAGCAAGTGATGCAGGAGTCGCCATGTGTTCTTAGAGTTAGGAGCGTTATCCACTTGGGAACAGATGTCATTCCAGTTCTGACGGGTGAGTTCTATAGCATAGTTTTTAATGTTTGTGTGCACTCGAGCCAACCGGCGATGGATGTCTTTATCCCATTTTCGGGCCTGCAGAAAAGTCTCAAGTTTGCATTTCCGCACCCAAAGTTTGGCGTAGTATCTGTCACAGCTAGGCACCGACTCCTCGACTTTGACGTCCGTTGTGGCGTCCGCAACGTGCTGGAGGAAGGTAGCGGACAATGTGGAAATTTGAGTAATACGCTGCGAGGTTTCAGATTCTTGGCACTTGGTGCGAAAATGGTCCCAGTCAATCAGTCTGGCTGAATGAAAACGCTGACTTGTGGGCTCCTGGAGGACAATTTCCAGAACATTATGGTCAGTGCCGAAAGTTTCTTGTGTATTGCACCAGGTGGCACTTACTCCCAGCACCACGAAGGTGAGATCTGGTGTGTTGTCACGGGCCACTCCTTCCCCTCTACGCGTGGGATGTGCTGGTTCAGTAAGAATATTCAGGTGTAGCGAGTGCCACTCGTCCCATAGAGAATGGCCTTTGGGGGAGTCGCAGTGGTGGCCCCATGATGGGTGGGGAGCGTTGAAGTTCCCCACTATAATTTGAGGCTGGTGCTGGGCTAGTTGTTGAACGCGGAGAAAAAGGGGGTCGAATTCAACCCAGTGGTCCCGGGGAGGGCGGTAGACGTTAAGCACAAATGACAGTGACCAGGTTTACGAAAAGGGTGGGGCAGAATTGCTAAAAGTACGTGATCAGGGCAATCAGAGCCGATATCATAGGGGATGACATTCATGTTGCGTTTCACTAGAGTTGCCACTTGAGAGTTAGCGCGCCCCGACGTGTATGCCTTGTATCCGGCTAATTGAACGTGCTTGCCACCTTTTGAAGCGCTATGACTTCTGGACGATCGCGGGAGACAAGAAACTGCTGGAGCACAGGACGCTTACGTGCGAAGCCCCGGCAGTTCCACTGCCGGATGGCGGTGTTACGCGAGCGGCCCACCATGGTTATAGGATGAGAGTTTGTGCCGCCTGGGACAGAGAATGAAGCTGGGCCAGGGGCAGCGTCGTAATATTTGCACTGAGCGTCTAATGCTTTTCTCAGTGAGTCGAGTTGCTGGGTTGACTGCGCTGAGTGTTTGAAAATATTTCTCCATGGTGCTTTCCAGAGCCGCGAAACGTTGGTCTCGGCGTGTTTCGCTCATAGTCAGAGCTGACGTAAGGCGCTCTATTTGGGCTGGCGTGTCACCCGGTAGTGTCCCGCCCACCTCGTAGGCTTTTCGTTTTGTGCCAGTGCTTGCCGATGGATCTGTGGGATGCTATCGTTGTAACTCTGCGCATAAACTGTGTGACTACAGCAGTGAGGTGAGTAATGGTTTTCTCAAGTGTAGTGTTGGGAGTCCCTTCCTGCATACTCACCGGCACCACCACAGGAGTTCCGGAAACTGCAGGGCCACGTAGATTCCCTGCTGGTAAACCTGGCGAAGTAGTAGCAGGGGTAGGCGCCCTCTAGCTTGGCTGGACGATGGCCATGGTGACTTGTGGGAAGAGTCGGCCCCAAGTGGTGGGAACGAGAAAGAGTGGTCCCTATACTTGCGCTGGGTACTACCAGACTGGTGATGGTCCCAGTGACTGGAGCATTTAAAAGTGACCCACCGTTGAGTCGCTTGATCTTGTTGCTTGGAGTCTTTCTCCTGCCAGAGGGCCTCCTATTTACGCCGCTTTAGGATATACGGGGTTTTGTAGATTTCCTTACAACGGCTTTCTCAGGTAATATGCTGTTTTCGGCAAAGGCGGCACGTTGGAACGCATTCGTGATCACTGGCTGGGTTGGCGATAGTGCAGCCCCGATACTTGTCCACTGTACTGGCACGCACATCAGCTCTGTGGCATAGTTCACTGCACCGGTAACACACTTCGAACTTCTTCTTGTACAGGTTGCAGCAGTCACGGGAATTGCAGAGGTATATCCACGTGGGGACGCGAGGTTCCATGAAGGTCAGCAGCATGGCGGCGGCATTTTCCAGACGGCGAAAGTCAGCGATGGGAGGGTTACGAGGATCTTATAATTCTTCTTGGAAACCTAAGCGGTCTAGGCGAAGGCCAACACCTCGGATCACACCAGGTCCTTGACTTTCATCGGTTGCACAGTACAACGAAATTTCATATTGGCGGGTGTCAATCACCAATTCCTTTATACGCAGTACCCGTTCAGCTCGTTCGTTGGCCGGTGTACAATAGGCGAATGTGTTCTGTTTGGGGTATACTTGAATGAGGTCTTCACCACGAATTGAGGCCTTGGGGAAGTTTGCTGCAGCGCAGAACACTTTGAACAGTTGAAAGTTGGTAATCTTGGAGAATAGAAGTCCTCCCCTGGGGCGGACGATGAGCTTGAGGGCATCATTGGGCAGCCGAGGCTGCTTAGAAGCCACCGAGTTGAGGGCTAGTCGCTGCCCACGTTGGCGTGGTGTGAGCGAATGCTCGGTTGCTGCTGCATCTTCATTCGTGGCATTTGAGGTTTTGTGGGACGTCTTCGTCCCATAAAACCGTCTTGCGTGTTGGAAGCCAGGAGCAAGTGTTTATGTATAAGAAGGAAAAAAAGGAAAAAGTGAGCCCCGCAACTGTCTGCATCAGGGTACGACCTCTCAGCAGTAGCTCACAAGAGATAAAGATAAGGAGGGATTAAAAGCATAGGAATAAAGGTGTAGAGAGAGAGAAAAAGAGCTGAGGTAAGTCAGAGAGCGACGGCATACCGAGGGGGTAGGAGAGATAGGAAAGATGGAAACATGGTAACAGGAGTCGGAGGACGGGGCACCACTTGCGAGAGCTCTTGATGGCGTCAGGAGACGGCGTAGAGCAAGTCCAGTAAGTCAGAGCTACGCTGTCGTCGGAGATCGGCGTCAGGAGATGACGTAGGGCGAGCCCAGTTGGCCAGAGCTACGCTGACGTCGGAGATTGCAAGGGCACGGAATCCTGCGAGCTAGTCCTTGGAAGCCTGGAGGATGGCTGTCCCTGTTGATGTACGGTTTTCACGGCTGTTGTTCACTTGCGTAAGCCATTCGCTGGCTTCAAATTCATACGGCGTAATTTCCGTGTCCACGACGATCACCTTCATGGCACACCTGCAGCGCGCAAGCGCGCTCGACGCCCAGTGAAGCGGGCGGTGAGGCCGCGCCGAGAGATAACGAGCGCAACACGGCGCGTCAGGCTTCTCTGGCCAAGGGTGTGGCGGGATGGAAAACTTCTCGAAAAAGACTTAAAATGGGTCGACTTACGTCGAAGTAGGTTTCCGGAGATTCCTGGAGACGTCAGAAATCTGCTGGTATTAGTGCGAATTCGCTAAGATGAGCATTTCCAGGGATGCGCGTGAAAACGTACGGGGCCCATGTAAAGCACGACTTAGTCGGCTACCGAGACGGTCGGTTCCCAGAACGTAGAAAAGGTGACGCGTTAGGAATGTTTGGGATATGCTTCATTGGGGTTAGTATCACCCGTCACCGAGGAGGTCAAGTGGACTGCGTTTGCTTCTCTATGACGCCTGAAACATGGTAGCCGCAGGAAAAATTCAGTATGTAAAAATACCATTGGGTCAACCACAACTGGGTACGGATAATTATTATTGGTTCTTCAAATGAAATAAATCAGTTTATTTTCAGTTCTGTTGTACTGAAGGAAACGACTGGGAAAAAAGCTGTGTTTTAAATCACCTTGACTACTTCACGGCCTCATAAAATATATTGATTTGTGGGGTTTGATTGATTGATTGATTTGTGGGGTTTAACGTCCCAAAACCATGATATGATTATGAGAGACGCCGTAGTGGAGGGCTCCGGAAATTTTGACCACCTGGGGTTCTTTAACGTGCACCCAAATCTGAGCACACGGGCCTACAACATTTCCGCCTCCATCGGAAATGCAGCCGCCGCAGTCGGGATTCGAGCCCGCGCCCTGCGGGTCAGCAGCCGAGTACCTTAGCCACTAGACCACCGCGGCGGGGCGATTTGTGGGGTTTAACGTCCCAAAACCACCATATGATTATGAGAGACGCCATAGTGGAGGGCTCCGGAAATTTCGACCACCTGGGGTTCTTTAACGTGCGCCCAAATCTGAGCACACGGGCCTACAACATTTCCGCCTCCATCGGAAATGCAGCCGCCGCCATCGGGAATCGAACCCGCGACCTGCGGGTCAGCAGCCGAGTACCATAGCCACTAGACCACCGCGGCGGGGCGCCTCATAAAATATAAATAGCAGAAAAAATATTAAAACACAAAGTAAAAAGTTGGAGTGGTAGCAGCACCGCGGTAAACATGGAGATATAGCACCTGACAGGTAGCGCGCCACGACAGTGTGTGTACATATTGCAGTTGTGATTTATTACGTATATGACTTGTGTATTAAAACGAAATTATTACATATTCTAGAAAACAAACATAATGCAATTCTGGTCTGAAAACAAAATATAATGAACACAATAGGCTGCATAACAAGACACAGATTACAATATTACACCATATATAGATCATAATGTCGAAAATTGATCTTATTAGAATGGCGTTTGGTTACCAAGTGGTAACTCGTCAAATGTCATCCAAGTCAGCCTTGCTGCTGGTTCGTTGTGGACTGACAACCGGGGATCAGCTGTTCAAAGTGACTGAGCGCTATTCACAACTTTCAGTGACTATAGGGGGCGCCACAAGAAATGGCTGTCGATGGGGTGATCATTTGAACGCGCCGAACCTGTTACAATTTATATATAGGGTTTAACGGCCCGAAACCACGATATGATTAAGAGAGACGGCATAGATGGAGGGTTCCGCAAATTTCGACCACCTGGGGTTCTTTATCGTGCACTCAAATCTCAGCACACGGGCCTACAGGCATGCGTCACATGCGTTAGGACTGCGTGGTTGCCACCTGTTTCGGCTAAGATAATTTTCGGTGGCATTGAAATTCCCATGAAGGAACCTATTCTGAAGGCCATTTCGAATCGGACTGGTGTCTCTGGGACACGGCTACGGAACCGCGTAGAGGCGGCGATAATTTGTCTTGATTTCCTGCCTGCAAGTGTGTAGTCTAGACAGCATTTGACTGAGTGGTATAGATGCGAAGCAGGGGGCGCTGAAAATGAACCATGGCACCCGTAAGCACGCGCCTACGCGTCCAAAGTGTCTAATCGCGCCGGTGCAACAAAAGGGCGCGAAACCACTGGCATGCATCGACGCTCTTCTTCTTCACCTCTTCTCATGGCTCTTAGCTAATGCAGGGGATTTTCTTTGTTGTGTTTCTTCGCCATGCTTCTCGTATAAGCTAAAAATAGATAACACAACATTCTTAAATTGCGTAATATTAGCATTGAAATGTTCAAAAGCTCACGTGTCCAAGGCTGACGCAAAGTGTTCCTTCGTAGTTTGGCTTAAAACTGTTTAAGTTCCGAACAGAACGGTGCGTTCTCGACTGAAGCTAGTTCGTACATTTTTGAACGGTTATGTTAAACCAAGCCATTTGAGCGAACATATAAATACATAAAAGCTTACAAATTTTGGTCAGATAAACTTTAAGGTACGTGGTCATAATAATGTTGGTTATTATTCAACAGTATTTTTTCTCACAACCTCTACTCGTTTGACTGTACGAATTTACTCATAAGGGCGCCTGGACGCCACTGATTACCGGACATATTGTCAATCTAGAAGTAGAATTGCAATGAAGCGTTCGGCAGCTCAGAACAGTTGACGCTGTAAAACGTAGCGTTACTCTAACCGTTTGAGCAGGCTTGACTGTACAAGAAATGTTCGTTATCATCATCGTCATTACATTTGGCTAGTGCCTCGCGTGCGAACGTGCCAAGGGCTCGCGAAGGTGAAGAAGCAGAAGAAAGACGGGTCTTGGATCGCTCGCTTATTTCTTCTACTTGTGCTTGTCCAGTTGATTCACAAAATCACCTGCTGCTGCAAGTCCAGGAGACGTCAGTCACAACCCCGCGTCATCGACGACGATCTGAAAGAAGCATTCCAAAGAGGCTTCGTCTCCAATCAGCTAGCCACGAACGACTGGGCCTGCTGTCAGGTTGTACACAGGCAATACGCGTGCGCCCGATGGACGGGCGTGTGACTGGCACCATCTGTGTTCTTCCCATTTCGGATGACCGGCACCTGGTGTTCGAACCCAGGTTCAGGCGGAGCAGTTCTGTCCGAGGGGGGCCAAACCTACTGGGTCCTCGCGACCAAGCTTCGTGTTCATCCAGGCCCTTGACGAACAGGGCAGTTCTCGTGCCTTCGAACCCACAACGAAGGAAATGTTGATGACGCTGCTTGAGGATTCAGCTGCTTCGAAACAATGGCCGGGGCCAGCAAGGCCTCCATCAGGCGCGTCTTGGAGGAGCGCTCTGGAGCTGCCTGCGTCACGACGAAAGAACTGCACCAGTGCGCCGACAGGTTTCGATCCATGGGTCACATTCGCACCGTAGTGGCTGATCCCTTTAAGGTGCACCATGAGGGCCGCTTTCTTGAAAATCAAGGATCTGGCAAGCTTCTTTTCTCAATCTAACCTCGCTTCAGAAAAGTAGGACGCTCATCAAAGCGAACGGTGGGTACAACGCAAAATATGTTTCTGTTATTTCAGTGCGCTGAAATTTAAGTGAAAGCGAGCATCTCATCACATCGAGTTGGGGAAACACTCCGACCAGCGTTTTTTAACGCCTAAAAGCGTTAAACATGGGCACACACGTACATGATGACAAAGCGATGAAGTACATGCACGAGCAAACTATCTGACGATCAGTGGTAGGAAGCTCGCTTCATCCGGCACGAATGACCGTGACGATTTTCGTTTTTGAAGTTTTATTCACTATCGATCTCTCGCTTTCTGTGCGTTGAACAGTTGCTTCCGTTTCTATATACTGCAAATGGAGATAAATGTGTGTTCACTTTCAGTTAACAACGAAAGGCAATACCGTGGCCTCCGAGATAGCTCCGGCAATCGCGGAGACAAACGGCAAAAAAAAAAAAACTGATGTTGGTCGCCATCATTTCACAATTTATCTGTGTGACGTACGGGTTCGCATTTCCTAGATAAAGCCGGAACTTGGAGCCTTCAAAGCCCCACGTGCGCAATGCTACCTGGTGGTGACCACTTCAGATTATCGGAGTGGCCGCGCCGTGTGCGATATTTATCGCGCCCGTCACCTGTCTACTGTTGCACGGCTCGCACCACGGTCAGGCGAAGTTAAGCTTCATAATCAAAGTTACCGCGATTCTCAGTGGCCCCACTGCGGTCACCTAGTGACTAAGGTAATCGGCTGCTGACCCGCAGGTCGCGGGATCGAATCCCGGCTGCGGTGGCTGAATTTTCGATGGAGGCGGAAATGTTGTAGGCCCTTGTACTCAGATTGGGGTGCACGTTGAAGAACCCCAGGCGGTCAAAATTTCCGGATCCCTCCATTACGGCGTCTCTCATAAACATATAGTGGTTTTGGGACGTTAAACCCCACATTTAAATCAATCAATCAATCAATAAATCAATCAATCAATCAATCAACGATTCTCCGTGGTAACGATCAGGCGCATTATCATATCACCTACACTATCAATTTTTCTCATGCGACCAGCTGTGTAGAACGTGAGTAATTCACTTGCCCAACACGATCGCGACGGCCCGTAGCCCGTTACGCCATTCTGCTTCGCAAAAGCTGCGTAAATCGGCAAAACGGAAGTCCTTTGCCTCCGTGGTGATTCACAACGCAGCACTAGCGTCGACCGGGGTCTTTTTTCTTTTTTTTTCTAAAGCACGGAGCTGTTACGTCTGCTTTTGTTTTCGCTGTCGTTCTGGTGAGTGAACCGGCAAGCACTTTATGGTGGTTCGGTGACGCGTCCGACTAAGAGAAGAAACTCGTAGCTCATTTTCTAATTGTTAAATGTGCTATTATACCTAATATTTAGCTCACTCGTAGTTTCATACGCTGTAGTAGCACCTGGTTGCACAGCAAACTGTGCAAGGGAGTAAGGCAGGGACTACTCAAAGCTGCGTCGACTGGTGGCGCTGTGTGTCTGCAAAACTCCAGAGTCTGACGTCTATAGACCTTTTCAAAAACGCCTCCCTGGGTGCCGCCACAGTCTTCATTGTGCTGCGCAAATTTGCGTGACCGCTCAAAAATTCACTGACAAGGCTGCACCCTTGGCCTTTGTACTCCCGCGCGCAGCCCATGATGGCGCTGTTTTTTACCGTCCTGCGAAAAGATGTATAGGGAGCCCAGCAATAAAATATGCACATAACAGCTGTGGGGCGCGGAGGTAATGCCTATAGCCAGTAAGAGCAGAAGCAAGAAAAATAAATAAAACAAGGGGAGAGCCACCGTTTCTGTCACGCCAGGCTAGCGCCAGGAGGCGGCAAGAACTAAGGCAGAACCGTTCAACGATAAGCGTGAGCGCGAAAAAAAAAAAAACAGAGAGAGGAAGGCCTCCCCCATCCCCTGCCACCGCCTAGCCAGCTCGGCGCCCGGCCGGCATCACGTTCACCGTCGCCTGCATGCCGTGGCATATGTGCGTCACCATTTCGGGCCGCTGTCTTTCGATGGTCCTTTTCCTACAAGATGGTCTGACACGGAAACATTTTCTAGTGCCTTACGACACACTTTATTCAAGATGTCATACATCTCCCTGTATAAGGGCAACCACTAGTATGTGCAGTCCCAGTGCTACTCGTTTTGTTTAAATAAAGAGTACAAACAACTTTCCGTTCATCAGTTGTCGAGATATGACATTGTGTCATGTACTAAGTAAAGGAGTACTAGTGCATGCGCGACTGCTTACTGAAACACTGGCGTATGTATGTTGATGCTTGTGTTCTAGGATAGAAGTTTAACAGGTGATTTTAGGAAAGCGTGGCAAATAAGAAACAAATGGAAGGCAGCGAGATAGAGAAAGATCAGAATTGAAAATTGATTGGTTGATGTTTGATTAGTGGTTGCGTAATTTGATGATTAACATCAAGTACAGAAGCCAGGTGCAGAAATCAGAAGGAGAGCGTATGTCACCGACATTCGCTCACTCTTTTGAATATTAAGTACAGTTCTCATATTCCAGCATGTATTTGTAACAGTAAACCGCGACCAAGACAACCAATGTACTGCTATAGAGGTAATGTACCAGCTATAAAAATTCCCGTTTTTGAAAGAGCAACTGCATGTAGTAACAATAATGATTTAAGGTTCGTTCTGCACCATTTCTTTTTCCCGAATGCACGCGGACGTTGGCGAAAGAGATGTGCAGAAGCATTATTTATTTGGAGGGAGACCGACCTATTCATCGCTAATTTGTGTACGTCGTGCTTGACCTTTGCACGCGCTTCGGCATTCACTTGAACAGAGTCTGATGCTGAATAAAGGTAAGAGTAGCCACTCCTCGTTAATAAGATTCGTTAGAGACTCAAAATGAGTAAATACCCCTCTATATCGCGAAATAATGCCCATAAATTATAATATCAAAGATAAGTTTAATCGAAATGCTAAAAAGGTGCTGCTGCCTAAGCGTGCAGCTCGTAGCATAATGCAAATGTTTGTTAGAGTAGGCACGCTAAAATAACCATGCAACCTTTACGTGCGAAAGCGCATGCGGCCTTCAAAACGCTGAGATTAGACTGCTGTCACTGACATGTGTGTACCTCCCGACACAAATAAGAGAATTTGTTCACAGCACACACACGTGCGACAAATATACGTAGCTTTCGACAGCCAAACACAGCTTTGTCCACGAATTTAAGTGAGCGTAACACGCGCGGTTGATGGGGGAGCCTAAAGCGACGCACAAACACACGTTAATCGTTCTTGCGGGATGGCGCACCACAAACTCAAGTCGAGGCCGAAAGTGCTTGCGATAGTTGTCTCGAGTTTATGAAGCCCTAAAAACTATTCGCTGATCACATGCATGAATATGACACAAATACAGTTCAAGGTTCCATCGATAAGTTTACAGCCATTTTGTAGATATATACCGCCGCAAAAAGACTCGCCTCCATGTGGAGGCGTGCTGTGGGGCAATAGGTAAGACACCGAGAAATTGGGTAAGGCACCTACTTCACGTGCATGCGGTCCCGAGTTCGATTCCAGGGCTGTGTGTGCTTTCAATGGTAATCGCGCAGATGTAGAAGACCGTGATACCATTGGTTTTCTAATTACCTATAGCCATATTATCCGCCACATTATCGGTGAGAAATTGCTCTCAAAAGCGTAATAGAATGCTTTTTTTTCACCACCGTACCAGGGCCGGGAGCCCATGGAATGCTCACGCTTACCCAAGGCCGTATTTTGCCAGAAAAATTTTGACCTAAAATCCCGGCTGTTCTGAAAGCCACTTCAAATCGGGCCGGTGCCTTTGGGACACGGCTACACAACCGTGTAGAAGCGGTGATAATTTGATTTGATTTTCTGCCTGCAGGTGTGTAATCTAGCCAGGATTTGACTGAGAGTGTTATAGATGCGAAGTAGCGGGCGCTAAATGACGGACCACTGGTATACGTATGCACGCGCTTACGCATCAAAAGTGTGTAATCGCGCCGGTGGAAGAAAAGGGCGCAAAACCACTGGCATGCGTCGACGCTCTTCTTCTTCACCTCTTCTCTTGGCTCTTACCCAATGCAGGGGATTTTTCATAGTGTTTCTTCGCAATGCTTCTCGTATAAGCGAGGAATAGTTATTGCAACAAACTTATAGGTACGTAATATTAGTATTGAAACGATTAAAAGCTCACGCGTCCAAGGCTGACGCTTGATGTTTTGGCCTAAAACTGTCTAAGTTCAGCACAAAAAGGTGCGTTCTAAACTGGAGCAAGTTAGTTCACAATTTGGAAGGGTTATGTTAAACCAAGCCACTTTTGCGAATATTGAAATACATCAAGGCTTCAAAATTTAGCTCAGAGACGCATCAAGATACGTGGTAATAATGATGCTGGTTATCATTCCAGTGTTTCCTCTCGCAACCTCTAGTCCTTTGTCTGTTGGAATGTACTCATAACTGCGCCTGGCTGACACCGACTACCGGAAATATTGTCAATCCAGAAGGATAATTGCAGTGAAGCATTCAGCAGCTCTGAACAGTTGGCACTGTAAAAGGTAGCGCTACTATATCCGTTTTACTGGGCTCGCGCTGTACAAAAAGTGTTCGTTATCATAATCGTCGTGACATTTGGGCAGTGCCTCGCGTGCGAACGTGCCAAGGGCTCGCGAAGATAAAAAAGCAGAAGAAAAACGGGTATTAAATCGCTCGCTTATTTCTTCTGGACTACTAGTCCAGAAACAACGTCAAGTTTTCTGCTTAGGTGCACATACCGTAGGGCACAGCAACGAGAAAGTGTGCACGGCCGTGCAAGATTTCATTGTACATTCTAAGTGATTTGCTGAATAACCTCAAAACCAAAAGGTTCTCAGTTAACCTAAGTAGTCTATTGAAAAAATT